GTGTGTGTTGAAAAAGCTGCAGAAAGGCTGATTCTGGTCCAGAGGGATTCACCACTAATACAGACATCAGGGAGAAAAAGAGCCGGGCTCTGCATCCAGCCCCACAATGCAGCATTTAACACACACACACACACACACACACACACACACACACACACACACACACAGACACACACACAACCCCATGACGATATCAAGGCTTATGATGACACACAAACAATTAATACACTCAGAACACTGCTAAGTGGATCAGAGCTCTCAGAAATTAACACAACAGTCGTCCATCAGGGGACAAATACTGACAACAGCAAATACTAACAGACGGACTAAACACACACACATAAACACACACACATAGACACACACACAGACACACAGATACACACACATATACAGACATACACAGACACACAAACACATACACAGAGACACACAACCACACACAGACACACACACATATAGACAACACACACTGACACACACAGACACACACACACATAAACACACACACAGACACAGAAACACACACATAAACACACACAGACAAACAAACAAACACACACAGACACAAACACATACAGACACAGACACACAGACACACACACACACAGACGCACACAGATACATATAGACACATACAGACACAAACAAACACACAGACACATACAGACACACACTCACACATACACACACACACACACACACACACACACAAACACACACAAACACACAGCAGCTGAAGCCATCATTTGAATTTACAGCGACTGCAGCGGTTTAACACAACTCCGGTCGATGAACCCAGGGGACCACGCCCCTTTTCCCTCCAATCGGGAGCCACAGACACACACCAACGCACACAGACACACACCAACGCACACAGACACACACCAACGCACACAGATGCACACAGACGCACACAGACAAACAATCATTCATCTATTAATCTATTCACTCATCCATCCATCCATCCATCCATCCATCTATTTATCCATCCATCCATCCATCCATCCACTCATCCATTCATCCTCCACTCATGATGTAGACGATATGCTAACAGATTTACTAATGAAACCATATCAACCATCACTGTTTTATCTCCAACTGATGGAACTTCTAAAAGAAGAAGTCCGTCCCTTTTCTGCTTCCTGATAAAACAACAGCTGGTTACTTTTTGTTCCATCCGTCTTCCAAACTAAGCAAAGCTTTATTTAGATTATTTTAGATTACAGCCAAACATGGCTGACAACAGGAATTTGTGGGTAGTTTTAATCGTTTTGGGATCAGGGGTCATTCGAGTGTTGGGGGAGAGTTTTTCCTCCATTTCCTGGATGTGGGTTTCCACCAGGGAAAGAGAGAGAAAGCAGGAGAATCTATTCATCCATCCATCCATCCATCCATCCATCCATCCATCCATCCATCCATCCATCCATCCATCCATCTATTAATCTATTCATCCATCTATTAATATATTCATCCATCCATCCATCCAACCGTCCGTCCATCCATTAATACATCCATCCATCCATCCATCCATCCATCCATCCATCCATCCATCCATCCACTCATATTTTCATCTATTCATCCTCTCATCCATCCATCCATCCGTGGGTTTCCACCAGGGAGAGAGAGAGCAGGAGAGGAGGAGTGGGAGATAAGAGTGAACAAATGATGCAGCGAGGGCCCCGGGTCATTATGGAGGAACTACGGTGGCCCTCTGGGGACAAGCTTAGGCTGTGTGACAGCAGAGGCTTGACCAGGAGGAGCTCGTTAAGAACCAGAGTGAGAGTAAATGCGGAGGTAGGTGATCAATAAAGAAAGAACAAAGGGAGGGAGCTACAAAACAGAGGAAATGAGAGGAAAACAAAGGGATGGAGATCCAAAAGAGAAGAAAAGATAACAAAAGGATTAATTTGTTTGTTTGTGCTTGTTGTTCTACTAAATAAGACCAAAAGATGGAAACACGTGTCTGAGTCCTGGTGTGGACATCTTTACATCCATCCACCCATCCATCTATTAATCTATTCATCCATCTTTTAATCTATTCATCCATCCATCCATCCATCCATCCACCTTATCCATCCATCCATCCATTATCCATCCATCCATCCATCCATCCATCCATCCATCCATCCATCCATCCACTCATCCATCCATCCATCTATTTATCCATCCATCCATCTATTTATCCATCTATTTATTCATCCATCCATCTATTTATCCATCCATCCATCCATTTATCCATCTATTTATTCATCCATCCACCTTATCCATCCAATTATCCATCCATCCATCCACTCATCTAATTATCCATTTATTCATCCATCCACCCATCCATACGTCCGATTATCCTGACATCCATCATCCATTCAACTAATCCACCCACCCACCCACTCATCCATCCATCCATCCATCCATCCATCCACCAATCCACTCATCCATCCAACCATCTACCCATCTCTTCATCCATCCATCGTTCCATTCATCCATCCATCCATCCATCCATCCATCCATCCATCCATCCATTCTAAACCCTGGTGTTTTTTAGATCCACAGACTCTCCTCTTCTAAGCCTCTTTAGAATTATTTCCCTTTTTAGGATTTAATAAAAGCCTGACACGTTTCCTCTTAACTGGTCTAACAGAGTAACAGACACTAACAGAGTGGAACCCGCAGAAAAAAAGCCGCTTGTTGGATGAAAAAGACGTTTCTCCACATTTGCATATTCATGAGGACCTAACGACCGGAGTGAGGCAGTTCCACCTACACAGAGATGGAAATGAGCCCCAGCTGCTCACCTGTCGGAGTTAACAGGTGCTCCAG